AACAAAAAATCTCAGTCTTCCAGTATCTTGGTGCTGGTGTTAATTTATTTGCCAAAGAACTTTTCCCTCAGAAGAGGATAACTGGGATCTTCTTAATCACTTCACATGTGTACTGGCAAATTCTCTTTTATATTATTTTTTTTTCCTCTACACAAAAGACATGGACTACATTCATTTTCATTATAAAATCTTTATAAAAGCATACTGTATTTTGTTAATGACTAATCATTACGCTCAAAGGAGGGAAAAACTACATAATGCTCTGAGACTTGATTAATTCTATAAATTTGTGTTGGCCTGCGACAGTCACATCTTTGTATGACATCTGCATAAGGTTCCCTTTCCAAGGAAGAGCTGTAGATGTTTCCTTTCGTTTGGTAATATTGATCCCATCACATTTGTACTAAACTTCATCCATATGTTGTCAGAGAGATGTGGGATGATTGCTCTACTTCTCTGTATAGAATGCTAATAGGGTGAGAGCACTGAAGGTAGCATCATATGAGCGGCTACACTACTTATGGTTTATTTCCTAGGGAAGAACAATTTAAATATAGGAACTGAAATTTATTTACACATTCCATAGTCAATTTAATCTGTTATAAATCAGCTCAGCTACAGAAAGGGGCTGCTTGTCACACAGAACTGGCTGGTTCTCCCTGCCTTCTGCTTCTGCCAGCCCTAGTGTTCATCTGGCAAATCACGTCAGGGAACAAATCCACCAGAACACTGGGGGTTTTTCCCCCCCCCCAAAGCTGAGTTTTCATTCAGATAAGCTCTCTATTTCAGCTCATTCATGGCTGAGCAAACAGCAGTGATGGCATGAGGGTGGGAGGCGGCACAAATAATCCATGGTGTAAGATAAAGTGGGACTCACCCTTTTAGCAGCAGCAGCCATTTATCCTGCTTAAGTTTATCATGGACCTGTGGCACTAGTTAAGTGGTGCCAGCCACAATATGGATTATCTAACTTTCCTGCATATTACTTTCTCAAGTCAATTAGTGGCCAATTCCAACTAAGCCAATGTAAGCCGTTCTTAACATGGAGTGAAAAAAGCTGTTTGGGTAATTTATACTGTTCATTCACACAGTGCATGCATACATTGAAATGCAAAGGCAACAACAGCAACCTCTACATGATCCTGTAGGAAATTCCTGATGATAACAAGAGCTGGTCTGACCAGCCTCTGTTGAGAAAGTTCTGTGATATTGTTAAAATCATTCAGTTAAACTGTGTTGAAATTTTACATAGCCTTTAGAAAGAAAAAACACTTGGGTAGATGTCAAAAAACCTTAGTAGAAAGCCAAAGAACATAAAAAAACAAACAACTCTCAGGCTGGCTAGTATTAGGTCTTTCTGTCCACTATGCTCAACATTTAACGAGTTAAACACACTCTGAGATTCCCATCTAGATCGCCCACAGTCTGCCCTTTCCTCAGAGAAATGTATGTCATCCTGACTGAGAGTTTTCCTTCATAGAAGCCTATAATTCCAAGATTTCAATAAATGTTTATGGAGACTCATTGTTTTTAATTATTTTCCATAATATTCTGCACAGCTGATTTAACAGTACCCAAGGTGGTTAGAGATCTAGTCCTAACCCAAAGCTGGAATTTTGGAATCCAAAGATTTCTAGTCGGCAGATATTTTGGCTGCACTGACCAGAGTTGAGCAGACCCTGAGCAGGTCTTCAAAGTGCTCCCAGGAACACTCACATTTTCTCTTCATCCTTGCTTCTGATTGTTCCAATGATTGTTCCAATCTTTAGCCATCTATTTATCCTGAAGTTTTCAGAAATAGAGTATCTACATAGTTGGTATGAAACACTAATATACCAAAACCCAGCATATATTATCCACACTTCAGCTCTCAGTGTGGATAGCTTGGTTCACTTGCATTTTGGTCAGAGTGCCTGACCTACAGTTCCTGGCATAAGCCCAAGATGAATTTTGTGCTTCAATAAAGTAGCACCACATTTTCCTACCTCACTTACCCACACAGGCTACCTGATCTGTTGTCAGAACTAACTGTGCTGAACTCCCCTAATTAGTGGTTACCCATCTCCTGTGTATGCAGGGCTTGATTGAAATGCTCAGGACCAGCGCTTTGGTTGGCTCCACTCTTATCTTACTTGAAGCTGATAAAAGGAGTGTGTCTACCCTTACTGCCGCTCCTGCTCCTCGCAAGTCCCTGGGCAGAAGCAATCACTCTCTGGCAGATTCTGTCAACAACAAACAGCAGCACTTTTCTGCAGTGTCACACCGATCTCACCTCTGGTGCAGGCAGGCAACAGCAGCATCTGAGCAGTTTTCTCCGTCCCCATTCCTCTGCCTGCCTTGATGGTGAGGCTATAGGGAGAAGGAAGAAACAAGGTATCAAAAGCAAGAAATGTTTACCGACGCTTTACAGTTCTTCCAGGTTGTTGGCTCTTGCAATTACAGGAATGACTTCTGATCTTAAGCAAATGGCACAGAGTGTGAAAATTTGTCAATATTTCTTCACCAGCAGATGCATTTTGAATGTTACCACTAGTATAGGGCAGGGAATTTGGTGCCCAAAAAACTCTCCAGGAGAACTACATTGACACTGCATTTTAGTAAAAAAACCCACTATGTGATGTTCCTGTACTTATGTGTCTCTGTTTATGTTTTTTTCTGCCTTCCATCTGTGGAATGGGGAAACAAGAATTTAAATAGTAAGTGACAGCATTTAGGCATCTGAATATTGTAACTTAACTACCAGTTAGACCTAGCTGAAAATATTATTCTCTTATCCAGGCAGAACTGCCCCAAATATCTCTGCCTGTCTTCATAGGAGAGAGGCTTTATCTCTCAGAACACCTCCTGGCTTCCTCTGCACCTACTCTAACTGGTCCATATCCCTCCTGTGCTGGAGACCCCAGAGTTGATTGCAGTGTTCCAGGTGGGTCTCAACAGGGCAGAGCAGAGGGGTAGAATCCCCTCCCTCAGCCTGTAGTACACACATTTGATGCAGCCCAGGGCATTTTTGGCTTTCTAGTATGCAAGCACATGATGTTGGATCATGTCTAGCTTTTATCTTCTAGAATCCCCAACCCCACAAGTATGCTTTCAGTAAGTTCTTCTCCCCATTTCTTCTCATGTTTGGGAGTGCCCTAGCCCAGGCACAGTACCTTGCAATTGGACTTGTTGAGCTTCATAAGGTTCTCATGTGCCCAATTTTCAAGCTTGTCCAGGTCCCTTTGGATGGAATCCCATCCCTCTGTTGTGTCAACTGCACTGCTCAGATTTGTGTCATTTGCAAACTTGAGATTGCAAACTTGAGATTCCACTGTCTGTGCCACTGAAGTAACCACTGCAGAGCAGTGATCTTAAACCAGAGCCTGAGGGACATCACTCATCACCAGCCTCCACCTCAACACAGAGGCATTGACCACAACTCTCTGGCTGCATCCAGCCAGCTCTTTATCCATTGAATTGTCCATCCATCACATCCAGGTGTTTCCAATTTGGAGATAAAGAGCTTCTGAATAGCTTGTAGCTCTTGATTTCTGTGTTCCAGTGACATGACTTTTCCCAGTGTTTCCATGATAGCAATTATGGCATAGATTTCTAATTTCACAATAGTTTCCAACTTCTCTTGCTTGTTACCCATGCTTGTTACAGCTGTGTAAGAGAACATGTCTTAAAAACACTCTCCATCTGCTTTAGTGCCAAGAGGGTTGACTTTAATTAGGATAGCTATCTTTGTAAATTAAGCCAGCCTTTGTACCAAACTGGATGAGAAGTTATCACAACTTCCAAAACATTAGTTCAGATGGGGTAAATCTGACAAGTGACAGCCACAGGGATGATAATGTCTTTAGTCATTGCAACCATTTCTTCAGCGAGGTCTGCCCCATACTTCTGATGTGATCTTGTATCTAGCCAAGGTGAGACTTGTACTAGCTTGGTTTGCTGTGACACAGTGAAAACATCCCTCTTCTAATGCTCCCCCAAAACAAAACAGTATTGCTGTTTTCTTTTTATTATTGCTTCAGTTTCCTGCCACAACATAAGTAAAGGCCATGTGCACTTGGTAGTACAAAATGTGGACATGTGATGAGAAAAGCCTGCCTAGAGCTGCTTTTTTAGCACTGCCCAGCTGCGGGTGTTTTTGCTCATGATACCAAGCCATGGCAATGCCATGTGAGTGGTCCTAGCCCATTTCAGAACACACAGTAAATTATATCTAGGTATCTGCTGATACTGCATAAACTCAGACTAGGAATATCCACTAAGGGGCCTAATTTTACTAATAGTAAAATTTTCAGAAAATGTTTCAAAAGGTTATTAACAGCTGCGGTGAGACAACAATCCTCCCTCAAGGACCTTATATTGCCTTTTCCAGTATTTTTAGTAGAAGTCTCAAAAGCAGGTTTTAAGGATCTCTGCTACAAATTAGTACAATCTCATAAAGCAGATCTCTGGTGGAAAACCCTGGCAGAGACAAGGCATGTAAGTAGAGCTCAGGCTTTTTAACCTTCCTTATATATACCTGCTCTGGTTATGATATACCTATTGCAGTTCTGTAGAATTTGTTTGTTTGTTTATTTGTTTGTATGTTTTTCCTATGCACTACATGGCGATACAAAGTTTTCTGTCTTGAGAAATACACTGGACATGAGATCTTTCCGCCTTGGGCTTTTGGTTGTGCTCATGGGCTCTTAACTCTCCCCCCAGCAGTAGGTGTCCCCCCCTTGCTCCTCCCTTCAGCAGGGCATGTAAATCGGGGGCTGGCCAGGGAGTCCCAGCCCGGAAGGATGTTCCCGGCTCCCGGCCAGGGCTCAGTCGTACGGCTGGCGACCAAGCCTTGCTGTAAGCTGGACAGCAGGAGGAAAGTTTCGTCAGTCCGCTTTCTCTGCCCATCGGTGTCTGCTGTGCGAGGACTGCTGCACGCAACAGCCTGAAGCACAGGGCTCTGGACATCTTCTGCTCAAGCTCTCCCGGAGGACCTCACAGCTATTCCAGGCTGCAGAAAAATGTACTGGAGAAATCATGTTAGGTAAGTTCTCTTGAGATGTCAGGGACCTTCTCTAACCAGGGATGCTTATTCCTTTTAAAAGTTCACACACTCACCATTCGTTTTAGTTTTTTGCGTCACATTAGCACAAAATCATTTCTCGTTTGATTTTTTTTTTTCTCTCTCTCTTTTTAATTTTTTTTTTTTTTTTTCAGAATTCTTTTCACTGTGATTCTTGTCTGGCAAGCTGTTCATTTAGAAAAAGGTAAGGGAAACTTCATCTTTCTCCCAGCCCCGCTGTGTTTTTCTTCTACATTTACAGTATGCATTTCTTCATTACAAACTAACCTTCCCTTACATATTTGCACTTCTTGTCAAGGCCCTGAAAAAGAAGAATGGAAAGAAGTTGTGAAAAGTCTCAATGGTACAGCACAAAAGCAGCAGCCCAAGAACGAAGGGACCTTTACAAATGCGCTCAGTGATATGAATCAGAGTTACCAAAGTAGAAAGCAACAGAGTTCCAGAGCTTTAGTACCTTTCACTGGAATTACAGAGAGTAAGTAACATTATTTTTGTAAATAATGACATAAAATTACTTTTAAAATATAATATAGTAATACTTTAAGTGTTGTCCTGGAAGATTCCAGCCTGTTGGTTTTCTTTGACCACCCATTTCAATTATACGCATGGCCACTTAGTAAATGGTGATAAAAATTTGGGGTAGAGCTGAAGATCTTCCACTTGCAAAATGTGTTAAGGAAAAACAAGGAAGAATACTAAGAATGAAGAAGTGTTTGGCACTTCGTGTTTACAAGAGCATCTGTAAAATTTTGTTACATCCTGTTCATTTTTTAGAATTCACGATATTTAATAACCATAAAAATTGAAATTTTATTAAAAAAGGTTTCAGCTACCTGAAAGCAACTGTACTAACAGGGAGGGGGAAAAAAAGTATTCTGTTTCCTCCCATTTATATAAAGTTTTAAATTGGTGCTCAATCCCAGGACTCTGAGAAAGGCTCAAGGGAGTGTTCCCCCCACGTCAGAACCAAGTAAATTCCCAGGTTTTTATTCAAAAATAAGTATCACTTCCCAATAAAAATGCCCCATTTCTTAGTGTGATTGAAACCTACATCTGTCAAAGTGGAGTGAAATATTTCACTTGAACACATCCTGCTGCTACAAAATTTGCCAGGCGTTGCTTCTGCACCATCTTGTAATCCCTAGTAGCTTGTTTCTAATCCTTAACTAAACAAACTGGGTTTAGCTGAACAAACACTCCTAACAGGCATATAATTTTATTGTCTCTAAAGACAATAAAACTAGATATCCTTAAGAGACTTTGGGAACTGGAGGGACCTGAGAGAACAACTGAGAGAAAGGTGAGGTTCAGAGCCCCTGAGATGCTTGTTAACCTCTGTAATATTGTCTTGCAGGTAAAAAACTGAACAGACGCTGCTGCCAGAATGGAGGAACTTGTATCCTGGGGTCTTTCTGTGCCTGCCTAAAGCACTTCACTGGCAGATACTGTGAATATGATGAACGGCAAGGGTAACAAAACAAAACAAAACCAGACCAAAATCAGAGGAAATTATTGTGCTTATTTTCTGTGGTGGGGTCAGGGAAGTACCAAATGTCTCCCTTGTCGTTGACAGCAGCTGTGGCAGCATTCCCCACGGCGTCTGGGTGCTGAAGGACTGTTGGCTTTGTCGATGTGGCTATGGCACACTACACTGTCTCTCAGAAATAACACAGAGTAACTGCGGTAAGAAATGGCATTAAATCAAACATTTTTATCCCGTGGGTGACAGAATTGCCTTCTGCAGTAGTGGGGTACTTGGAGACTGCAGAATGTGCACTAGCTGGACTTCTACAGTGGGTTTAGAGAATGCATTAGTGAGACAGTAACAAACACTGATCTCAACTGTAGAGTGCAGCACATAAGACGTTTTCAGATATTCATAATTCTGTATAGTAGAAAACTTCCCACTGTTCTAATTGAAGACTACAGAGGTTAAATACTTCTCTGTTCTGCAAAATCTGTACATCTATGACTTCCCACTTAACCAGGACAATTTCTATAACTAAACTAAATCAAAAAACTTGTTAAAGAGAAAAAAAGAGTAGTGTAGTGTATACTGGTGTGGAGGAAGTAGAAACTGGTATTTCACTAGAGAAAAAAGTTGTGTCTACTTAATACACAGAATCATCAATCATCATGCTTAAATGACACAAAACTAATTCGAATATTTTTTTAAGATCTGTATCTCAATCTTCAGAATATTCTTGTATGAGTTTTAAGTTTGAACACACTGCTCACAAAAAATATGTAACCGTTATCCTGATCACTGTAAGGCAGTGCCGCCTAGTCTCCTCAAAAGCACTATATCATTTTAAGTGAAGTCTTGCTATATCAGCCTCAGAAATTCCCTGAATAAATGGGTGAATATTTTTGAAAACAGACTGTCAACTAGCATAAGGATTTAAAGAATTGCTATACTGGTATTATTTTCCATGGAGAACTGACTGATCCAGACTGTTCTTAATACTCTTGAGATCACTAATAAGGATTTAATAATATTTTCTCTTCAGTGGCAAAATCGGTGAAAAATATTCTTGCCCTTTCCACCCATAATATCTCAATCCCATCTTGTGCTTTCCTTCACTTGTGCCAACATCACTCCTTAGCAGGGTAAGAAAACAACAGACTGAAATGGTTTCAAGAGTCGTTTGCACCCCAAGCAGCCTCTTGTTTCCTAGATTCCTACCTGAGTAGCAGTGTCTTGAACCTGTGACTTGTGAGTTGTAGCACTAACTCAGATGTAAATCAAAACATTAAAAAGGTGACATTGCTACCTTTGTAACCCTAGACAGAAAAAAAAAATAAATAAAAATCCACCAGAATCACTTTTTCCTTGAAGTCTTCTGTATTGAGCAGTTATATGTGTCACACAACTTTCTCATTCAACTCTTTACATGTTCACCTTTGAATCATCTCTATTGTTCCTCATTACAGGAACAAAAGACATAATGCTCTGAAAAAACAGTCAACTGCTTACTACTCTTAAACTCAGCTTAAGAAAGACAATAAATGTCTCAGTGGAGAATCCTCTGAGCAGGGACTCCGTGGCTTTCACGGATAAGAGGGTATGGCTTCTCTGCTTTTGCTAAAGCTATGTCCCTTGTTAAAGGAAGGGTTAAAAACCGACATACAGGCTTGAGTGCTTACCTCTTCTGAAGTTCTTCCTCTTGCTTTTGCTTGGTATTTACTTTTGATTATTCTGAGATTAATGCCTGCAAGAGCTGATAAGTGTTATCAGTTGCTCCTCAAACGATCATTGATGGGACGTCTATTTACATCTCTCCCCTGAGAATACTCCCCTTGATTGGCTTTAACAGCTGATACCTTTAGCTTAAGTACCTGTGAGATGTCAGAGGACTTTTCAAGTATGTTGAAAAACCTTATGTTTTCAAATTTACGTACTCATTAACCATTTTATTTTCTTGATTTTATTTCTTTTAAGAACTGACATCGGAAACAGAGGAAATTATCAAACTGTACTCCAATGGTTTAAGATTACAGCAAGCAGTGTTTTCAGTTACTTGCCTGCTTGCCATCCTTCTGGAGTTCTGCTAGCTGGCAGTTGTGAAACTGGACAAGGGGAAATACTCAGGGTTGATATAACCCTCATCATGAATCATACATTTCTTCTATGAGCTGCAGAAGACTCTTCTACCTGCATGTTGGAGGCAGATTAAAATGTATTAGTTAATGTTGAAATACCTGGATTATTATAAATTCAGATTATATGAATGTGAAGTATTTATTATTATATTATTATATTAATACTGCTATCAATGTCTGATTCTAACGATTCTTTATTTTCAAAATACTGCTCTTCCAGTGGAAGTACCCCCCTCCCAATATTCTGTGCCTGAAGAATTGTAAGTTATAGTAATTTCTTTTGTACACAGTACAACTTTTATAACAAATAAAACTTTCATTTCTGAAAAGTTTTTGTTTATTTAAACTTGAAAATTCTTATCTACTATTTGTCATATTTTATCTTGTAAGAAAAGCGCAGGGTGGAATGAGCAAACAGAAATTTGACACCATAAGTATAGGTTTAAGAGTAGATATCTTTCAAGCCCTAATACAGAGAGTTGTAAAAAGTTACAGAGCTTTTCTTATTTATTACTGCAAAATTGTATATATGCATAATCTGCATGGCAGGAATCATATGTCTATTAAGAACACATAAGTGATGGTTATTTGTCTTTTGGGGGTTTACTTCATATCTTAGAAATATGAGTGTCTCTGTTTTTGAAATGACAGCAAAGAGCAAATTTGTTTAACTCTTTCTACATCAATGTTGTCTTGATTTATATATAATTTTAAAATTAGTATATCTAGGCTGTAAAATACAAAATGTTTGCAAGTGCATTTTAATGCAAGTTTATAAAGCAGAAACAGGTTTGTTTTGAAAAAAATTACAAACATAAACCTAAAATGTATCTTCATCCTTTTGGAGTGGAGGTACCACATAGAAAGAATCAGATTCATAATTTTATTGACTAAAAAGACATTACTGATGAAGAAAATTCTTAATGTCTTTTAAAAATTCAATATACTTAATCCTTAAAATTTCCTATTTATTTGGTGCTGCAAATTGAGACAATCCAGTTCTTAAGCAGAAAAGGATGCAGCATCAAGAAATGGCGTACTGTAGTGCCTGCTTTTAAATATATGACTGCTCAGAATCAGACTTTTATAGCAAGTCATTGGGTAAAAATATATTCATGTTCAATACTGCAAGAATTAACACTATTCCTTTCCGAACTCCAGACTTGTGCTGAGAGAGAACGCTTCTCACTCTTCACATACACTAGACTAGAAATGGTCCTTTTCCCATTATTTCACACAAACTGGTCTGTACCCATCAGCCTGTGTTTCCACAGACCATCTTAGGACAATTAAATATCAAAGAACAGCTGGAGGAAAGTAGCTGTGCCTTTATTTAACAGACGCTGAAGTTTCAGGAATGCCATTGTGAAATCATCTTGGTTTGTCATAAAGCATACCTGAGAAGTCTGTAAGCAATACAGCTTGTAATGTTCTTCAAATAGTCTTTACTTTTTAAAGGAAAATACACAGTATAGTAAAAATACATTTGAAGTAATATTTTTTTTTTATCCCTGTAGAAAATATACAGAGCCATTAAAGACTGTAATTAACAAAAGAAAACAAGTGTTTTAATACAGGTTTTACAACAGAACAGCTATTTCTGTTTCAATAACACCTACAGCAGATTTAATCATGAAAAACTGAACTGGAATAACTCTGTAGATGAGCCTATGTGCCTGCAAGAGTCACCGCAATGAGTTTATTCATTATTGGCTTGGTCTGATTTGCAGAAATGTCTAGCAAAAAAATATTTTCCTGCCATGCCAAAACATTAGTACAGGGTACCAGGTTAGATGTACAGTTCTGTTTCTACAGTCTCAAAGCATTGCATGGGGAACTTAGATGCATAAGTAGTTTTAATCATGTCAGTGCAGTTTATTACTTACGCTGGATGCCAGAATTTGAAAATTTTCTCTGGATGAAAAAACAGGGAGTTTTTGTTTGTTTGATTTTAAGATAACAGTTCCCTTTCTCTCTATTTTATCCCATTGCATTCTGTTACTGGAAAATCTGAAAATCCTGCTTCAGCATGGTTTTATGTCAACCAACCTATGGCAAAACTACTCCCTCAGTGTCAGTAAGTTGTGGATGATATTCATCTTGTCTTTGTGTCAAAACTCTGGAATTGGTGAGGCATAAGTAGAAGTTCAGTCTGTGTTCCTCACACTTCTGAAGCAGAGGCAGCCACAGGAGTCGAGTCAGAAGAAAAGCCTTTCTCCTTAAGTTAAAGAAAAACAAGAGGAGTGGAAAAAGCATGCAGAAGGTGTCCCATGCATAGCCTCATTTGCAAATAAAAATGTAACTTAGAGGGAGGAAAACAGAAAGCACTGAGGAACAAAGGAAAGCATACAGTCACAATCTTTGCTTAGGTTAAAACTGTCTCCGCTTTTATCTGTCTCCAGCTGTCTGCAAGAACAGATAAAAGAAAGCATTATTTTCCTCCCCTGTTACCATCTACGCCTGGCCAACCTTCTAAGTGTAATTACAGGCACTTTGCTAAGGTTTGTTTATAGCAAACAGCAATGCTTACTCTTCAGCCTCATGCTAACTCAAGACCACTCTGTCAAACATAGCACACCCCAGCAAAGTAGACATCTGTCCCTGCAAGTTCATGCATGTGCCTTCCCTATATGCAGTCACATTGGGCACGGGGAAGACCCTCAAAGAGAAGTATTCACCAGAGGATCCACAGGGCCCCAGAGCCCAAGATCTTTTCCTCCTCACAGTCGACTCCAGAACTAAAACAAATGGCGCTGCCTGTGGCTGGCCTCAGCGGCTTCACCCTTGCAATTACTCCAGCCTCCATCACTCCTAGGGATATGCCACAGCTGATAAGAGCCCAAACTGGGTAAGAATGTGGTGGAGAGTCTGCCTTCTCTGCGGCCAAGAGCCCTGGAGCTGGAGCTCTGCTGCTAGGCACAGACCTGCAGGGGGATGCTGCCATCTGCCCTTAACACACGGTCCATTTAAAGGAAGGGATTAGTTTTGCATGAGGTCACATAGTGCACCGAGGTGCACACACAAACCTGTAAAAGCTAACTTTCAGGTACCAGATCCTGGATACTGAGGAAGTGTCACTTATGTGTCTCTCAGAGTATCTGATGGTTATCTCCTAAGATTACTTTATTTCCATCAAGGAGATACGGGTTTCTCCTGCCCCTGAGAAGTGTTAATGGTACCTATAGGTGCCAATAGCCTTCTCTCACCTAGAGAGAAGCCAGCCAAAACAGAATTAGAATTTCCAACACTTGTTTATCCAGAGTTTTTTGGGGGTCCTTCTTGTTTTTAATCGTCTTATTTGAGATTGCTAAGGTTGTATTTTGCTATTCATCTTTCATTAACTCTCATAGTGTCAGGCTATACATCTGGGTCATTACATCCACAGCTTTCATACACCTGAGCAAATATACAGCAACTTTATATTTTGTTTTCCATCAGTTGGAAGGGTAATATAATACAGCAGGCTGGCTCACATTTTGAGCAGCCCTGTGAATTAGAATCACATAATAATAGAATATTCTGAGTTGGAAGGTACAAGGATCCTCAAGTCCAACTCCTGTATCCATACAGGAGAACCTAAAAGTCTAAGCATATATTTAGGAGCATTTGCAAAGTTATAGGCATATATCTCACCTATAACTTTTCCAGAGTTATAGGTTTATATCTTGTACCCTGCAATCATCATCTGTAATTCACCCTCTGCCTCATCTTTTACAGCACAGTCATGTACAAGCATGGGAGACTTAATGACAACACAGCAGCTGTATGCTTGCCCTCTGCAAAATTAACCAGCTTTGTGAGTACTCCTTGTGATTGCAAAGCACCTTCTTGGTCAGAGAAGATATTAAAACATGTAATTCCCTCCACATTTGGCTGATTGACCTTGCCCTTGGCTTATGCTGCTGTGAGGGTGACTTATTGATAAGGTCGTGAAGCTACCATATGTCACTGGAATAAAACCAGATGCCTTATGCATGTTGGGTCTAGCATTTGTCTTCAGGTAGATGTTGGTACAGAAATAGCCTTCATTAGCAGCTGTCTTCATCTGCTGCAACCCAACCATATCTTCACAAAACTACAATTTCTAATCAAACTAAAGTGAGGCTTCAGTTCACATACTGTTTGTTTGATAACATTTGGATGAAAAGCTGGGAACGTACTATGAGGTCAGAAGCACTGGTAAAGTCTCAAAAGCAAACAGCCAGAAAGGCACAGGCATTACAGTATAAGTGCACTGTCCAGCTGAGCCTCCGGCAGCTGGTCCCAAAGACTCAGATCTCTTTCTCTGACAGCTGAGATATTTCTCTGAGCTTCACACTTTGTCTGGGGCATAGCTTGTCACCTTTCACTGGCTTTCTGTGAGCAGAAATAGACACACAACCTGTGAGGTTCCAAATCAAAGGACTGGGTCTGGCAGGACTATGACAGTCATTTTCAACCCATCCACACAGAGTTTTCTGTCACTGGATGGCAAACAGTGCTGAACAATCAATTCCTTTGTAGGCATGGCCCATAACACCCTGCATCTCTTACCAGCAATGCTTCTTTCTGCCTGTTCTCTACAATACAATGTTTGCATCTTCCCAATAAACAGAAATATTCCTGTGGTCCACCCTACTTATAAATCATTACAAAACATTATAAACAAGAATAAATCTCATATATATACGAGAAAGAAACAAAAGAATAAAGAAACCTCTTTCTCACCAAAAAAACAAATAGCTCTGTCTCCTGTGCTGACATAAAAGGTCTTGTCAAATTCTAGGAAGGTTTGTGGGGAAAATTGTGCTTCATGTTTTTGAATCACCAAGATTAAGTCCTTTCAAAAAGTATGAAAAGGAGTATCAGGAAAAAAATTAATTAAAAATGAAGAAATGGTACGATGCTGAAAAGACAATATTTGCAAGAGCATCTTTATGCACAACAAGAAGAGAGTCAGGATCAAAACCAAA